GGTTTACTCCCTCATCATAATTAATCACTTCTTAGGATTTGTTTAATCTTTTTTCAGAAGATTGCTTTTGATGGATATGAAAGTATGAATCTTATATATATATTTTGTTTTTGCTATGAGTTACTTATAATTCATGCTAATGTTATCATTTCTTATACAATTAGTATTCGATCCACTACAACATAAATGACTTTAGGTAGCACCAAATAAATGATACGTAAAAGTTTTAAAATGTTACATAAAAGCTATAAAATGTTACTATAGACAATAAGTAACACAATATTGGCGCTGCAGTTGTTCTTGTTACCTAAAAGTCAAAGGTAATACTTTTGGTAGTTTTTGGTAACACTTATATGATACTTTTGCTAGTCTTTGGTAATAATTATATAAAAGTGTTACAATAATATGATACCTAAACCAATAATTTGTAATATAATATTGGCGTTGCAGTTGTTCGTGCTACCTAAAGTCATTTATGTTCATTTGAGTGTCAAGAGTGTGTTTGACAGTATAACACTTCTCCATCCTAATGTTTGTTAGGCATATAATCATGTGCATAAATTTTAGGTACTAAGGGAAAAGCAGTGAATTGTTGGGCATATTTCCTTCACTTGTACTGTTGTACTAACTTTATATATGTAAGGGAAGTTGATATAACTTGTGGGAAATGCTACGGTCTCGTTACGGAACCATTGCGTTGGGATTTGTAACCGTTAGATCATCATGTAACCATCGGGGATATTTGATCTAAAGGTTACAAACCCCAACTAAATAGTTCCGCAACGAGACCGTAGCATCTCCAGTTATGTAGTTGGAAGCCTTACAAAATAGTATGTATGAGGAAATAGTATTTTTTTTTTACTTCATTTTCAATTTGTGTTTAAATTTTGAAATAGGTTGGAGATGCTTTTTAAGGCACACAATTGCATTTATTCAACAATTGAAGTAGTAAGTATAGTGTAGGCTTGGACAATTAGTTTGATATGCAAATTAAACGAATTAGTATCATGAAACTTGATAATAAAAGTATGACGTTTGATAGTATAAACAATTAAATATGCATTTTTTTTAACATAGTATGGTAGATGCACCCGTCGACTTTTCTACTGTACATAAAAATTTGTGATAATTCATTGCGCATGTATGTATGATGTCGTAAATACATTTTAATAACATATGTATTTTTTTTTCCAACAATACAAAAACACATCAAATACATGAACTATTTTTGTCAGTTGATCAATAAAATAACATGTAAAAAGTAAAATACATGAAAGTAGACGAGGGTTGTAGAACCAGCCGATCCAAGCTCGAACCTTGATACTCGAGCTTAGTTTGTTAACTATATATGAGCTAGTAAACATGCTCAAGCTCGACTCATTAATCAATACTAATAAGTTGAACTCAATCATGAACTAGTTGATAGAATTCATGAAATTAGGTAGAATTCATGCTCTCGAGTTTTAACCAAACGACGTCAACCTGAGCTTAAGTGTTAACGAGTCAAGCCCAGCTGAGTCGAGACTTAATTCTTTCAAAAGATCACGGCTTAATTCTGAGCAGCAAATTCATTTCCAACAAATGAACACAACATGAAAAAAGCGCACCGGCTAAAGATGTAACACTCTCCAGTCTCCGCAACACAAATTAAAATCATCCGTGATGATCGGGTTTGTTGTACAAGACCCGATACCCATGTCATAGAAGCGGATCATATTTTTTAATATGTATATTTTATATTTAATTTAAATATGAATATTTATACATAACAATTAGTTTTTATAGATTGATAATTCCTAATATGAGCATAACATATCTAATAAGGGGATACTGATAAATATACATATATATTTATATATAATAATTAGTTATTATTGATTGATAACTCATAAATAAAAATTACATTTTTATTATTTAACTTAAAAAGTATTCTAGAAAGATTGTTTGAATTTATTATCAGTCTTTTATATATAAATTATATTATAGTATTTTTATAGTTTTTAAAAAACTATTTTATAAATATTTTTACAACGGTTGGATTGAATTTATTTATTCAAAGTGCTTGTATGATTTTCCAATAAGTTTTTTATAAATAATTTTGTTGGATTGTATTGGTTATTTGATATGCATGTCTAATTTGTTTTATTATATTATAGTCTTCCATTTAGTAAAGGAAGTATATATATATATATACAAATATATTGCCAAATACTAGTTTACTATTTTTGGTGATCTCGGATTTATACAACGAGTTAAGTGATTTCATGAATGATATAATATATACTACTAGGAATTAGTGTCTCTAAATTAGTGAATCTTCCAGAACCGTAACAGAGACGGTAAATAATAGATTTTTTTCATGAATATGTTTGTTAATATGAATGAATTGGTAGGAATCATTTCATTTCATTTTATTATTATTTTTCTTCTTATTATTATTTTCTCTGTCTACAAGCAGCGTGAGGTTTCTGTGACGACCTTGTCACGAATGTTTGTTCAGCATGGCCATACGGACCTTATCCTGAAAATGGCGGAGTTCCACTGCCTCCGAAACCTGCTTTCTTCTTTGTTCCGGTGTTAGCTTTTAATCTGCTATCCCAAGGTGTCGTTGCCAATTATCAAGCCATTCAGCAGTGGGGAGCAAATATATCATATGGGATCCCGGTCTCTAACCTGGTTGCACCGACTGTAAGCAATGGCCTTGGAGTGCAGTGATGATCATAGTCGTGCGAGATATGCTGGAGTTTAGGATCATGGATCATGTTGTTGTTTTCATTTTTACTTGGGTTATTTTGGTGTTGTTTTGATTTCAGAACCAAACGCGTGTTGCTTTATTTGCGTTTCTATTAGTTGAGAGTTGTACTTTATACAACGTCGTTTTGTGCTTGTTAATACGACGCCGTTTAGTTCTCTTGTGCATGCATATGTGTATATAAGTCCAAAACACTGCGAACGTAAACATTATGAGAAAATATGTGAAAATGGTGTCTTCTTGCCCAATTCATCTGTATCGTTTCCACATGATAATATGTTGCATTCAGATGAAGATATGATCCTATATGGATAGGTTCACCCTAGTGTGGTGATAGGTAGAACGTGGCTAAATCATGGTTTCGGGTCGTGTTTTTAGAGGCCCTGAATCGGCCCGAGCCTATATACAGATTTCGGCCTCACTCATCTGATCGAACCCATCTCTCCCACCAAGAAGCATGGGTTACCGAGCACTCGAAAAGATCGAAACAGGCAAATCGACCCAAAAGCCAGATGTTTACGCCTTTGGAGTTCTCCTCCTCGAATTGCTGACCAGAAAAGCACCGAACCAAGACGAGGCCTTGGACCTGCCAGGATGGTTCAGTCAGTTGTAAGGGAGGAATGGATGGTTGAGGTTTTTTATGCCAATCTCATCAGGTATCATCAAAATGCTGAGGAAGAAATGGTCCAATTGCTTCAAATCATGATGGTCTGCGTGACAAAGGCACCCTGGAGGCGGTCTGGAATGGATGAGATTGTTAGAATGATTGAGGAAATTCGCTAGCCGGATTGTGAGAACTGACTATCATTCAGAAAGTCGAGAAGCACAAGTCCAGCATTGTAAACAAAAGTTTAATACTGTTGTATCTCTCTAGATAAGGCTGCAGTAGTATAGACATTTTTTAATTTCAAATGCAATACTTAGACCATGTAACAGTAACAAATTTGCTTCTAAAAGTACTAGTGGTCTACCGGCTGTGCACGCACAGCCGGCCCACATCCAGTGCTTATTGGATGCAAAGATTAACGAACATTTAAATTATCTATTTGATTGAAATTTGTTTAAATGTTGTTGGCGGTACTTGTACATTTTTTTTTATTCACTTTGCTACATTTTGTCGTTTCTATAGCGTTTTGTCACAGTGGCATGCACAGTGGTTAGGTTGGTTTACGGATACGAAATGGTCAGAAACTTCTAGTGCATGTGATTTAATCTTAAATGAATTAATAACCTTAAATTTGTAAATGTAAAGGATGGTACGGTGCGCAATGTTTGTTACTTCCTATGTATGTAGGATTGATTTATTATCGTTGTCTTGTTATATATGAATTTGATGGGCACATTATTTTGTTGCAATAATGTTAGTGTTTGAAATGATTGTCTGTATATTGTATTGATAGCGCTGCTATTTTGTAGCTTTGTTGAATGTGTTCTTTTTATAAATAGTTTTGCGTTATGAAAAAGAATTTGGAGGATTTGTTGGTGGTTGTTTTTTGTGTGACCTAAAAATGTTGTTGAAAATCTTGTTGAAATATTGATTTTTTTTCCTGCCCATTCATACATATATTAGGCCCACTCAAAGTGTAGTATTTAGTAACCCCACAATCGGACCCAATTTAAACAATCAAGACTCAACATACTATTTACACAAGAACATTTGATATCGCGATGTAACTAAAATCTTATATGCCAAATTACTACATTGCTTGGAATTCAAGCCGGCCGAAATGATTTTTGCTCACAAACTACATTAATGACATTCTAAAACATTGAATATTAAATGTCAAATTATGGCTTATAACTTAAGGTACAACTGCATTCATGTATAACAACAACAAAGTTTCATTTCAACCTCCTATTTATGTTCAACTACTAGTAGTTACATGGAAGTACTTAATGAAAATTAACTACGTGAATCCAGAATTAAGAATCATCGCCCCCTCTCTTCCGGCGAATTGTCCGCTACAACCACTAGGTTGGAGTAGGTCGATTCACGGCTGGGGTACTCTTTTCCACCCTAACCGCAACTTTGTGGGTGTCATTGTTCTCGTTGTTCAGTCTTTCTCCCTAGCTCCGGGAGGGGTCGCCGACCATCATGTCCTGCCACAGTCGTGAGAGTCCGCCGCGTTGTAGGTGTCTATTAGTAAACTTTTTTTCTACTTCTTGGAAGGTGGTTGTGCGTTCGAGTCACCGCGCTTGGTTTGGGCATACCGATGAGCCGATGAGTTGCACGGCTTCGCGCAACCCTGTGTGGTGTCTCTTTGGCGCCTTGTTTGGATCACTATGGTGTCTTTGGATGCTCCTCATCTTTTTCCCTGGAACGACGTCCAGCAGAGTTTAGATTTGGTTCGAAATCTGACTAGGCGGTTTTAGTGATTGCAGTTCTTGGGTTTGGAGTCTAGTTGTGTTGCTTTGTTGGATTTCTTAGCTATGATTTTTGAATCAGTTGTAAGTTTAGGTGGTCGTGTAGGGGAGATTTTATTCTATTTGTGTATTAAGTGTGTGTTGTTTTTCTTTTATTTTTGTTTTGTGTTGTTAAGTTTAGTGGCGTCTGACATTCAGTCTCCTTGGAGTTTTAATCTTCTTTATAGAGTCGTGTTTTGACGTTAGTTTTAGTTTCCTTGATGGAAGTTGTACTCTCTTGGACTCTGGTATTGTTTTGAGGAAGGTAGGTCCAAATTTTGTGGTGCCTCTGATGTCAAGTTGATACTCCTATTTGTAGTCCTTTTAGTTATCTAGTTTTTAATATATTTCCATAAAAAAAAATATATAACTATCCTCATGTATATAATTTCCGAATGCGCTGAGCCTATGTGGTTGCTTCTGGTGCTTCGGAATCCTACTTGGCAAAGAATCAAGCTTCATAATTAGGTCTGGACAAATAATATTGATATATTAATAATTAATAATCTAGGTTCGAGCATTCCATAAATATTATTTAGCTAACGTAGGTATTTTAATATCACTTGTACTCATGGAAAAAAATAGCGCGCTATAGCGTCGCTATAGCGCCGCTATTGCGTTTTAAACCAACTAACGCGACGCTATTTTGCATTTCTGCGCTATTGGCGCTATTGACGCTA